CAACTGCAACGGTAACAACAACAACAACAACAACAACAACAACCAAGTCAGACCAAAGAGGTCTGGCGACGCGGCCAACTTGTCCGCGACCGTTCTACTCTCTGGACGGGGGGTGGTGGGCGGCCATGGAAGGTTCGAGGGCAACGCCGAATCCTCCGCCACCGCGTACGCCTCTTCCGCGACGGACGCGGGATCGCGGCCTCAGAAGCACCATCGCCGAACCGAGTCCTTCTCCGCCGATTCCTCCAGGAGCAATTTGCCCGCGCCACCCTCCTCTGTACCGCCGCCGTTGCTCTCACCCACCGTTCAGTCGCCGCGGGAACGATCCCGCATCCGCACCAATCCGTGGCTTTCGGCCAATTCTTCCGGCTCGAGCACCGCACCCTTCAAATCCAGGCTGAACCTAGACGACACGAGCAGCGGCTCCGGTCTCAAACTGACCGAATCCTCGGGAAGCGCCAGCGACGTGAACGCGGGCAGCGCGAGAGAGGGACGGGCGGCCAGGAGGGAGTTGAAGCAGGAGAGCCTCAGCGCCGGAAGAAGCCCGATAAACCAAAACTGGAGAATAGCGTCCGGCATGGAGATCCGACCGAACATCGCTCTCTCCGTGCAACTACGCGGTAGCACCAGCAGCACTAGCAGTAGCCCCGGAGGCAGTAGCACCACCAGCAATACCAGCACCGGTAGCGGTAGCGGTACCACCAGCAGCAACATACCTAGTACCAATGGAAACGAGAACGGAAACGAGAACGGCAACGGTTCCTCCGTGTCCTCTGTAGCTAGGAGCGCCAGATCTTCCGAGGACGACATCACCCTCAACGAGATGATGGGAAAATTCGACGAGAGTTACGTCTACGAGAAAGAGACGGATATTCTCTCGGACAGCGATCCAACGGACTGCGAGGATTACATCGAGTCCATGTCGGACGTGTACGCGGCTCGAGATGCCGGCGACGAGAACGATCCTCTCGATAACGACGACTTCGACTACATCGACAACGGCTCCTTCCTCGACCTCGACAATCTCGATTGTACCGGACGCTTCGCCAACACTGGACACTGCACCTACTTTGCGTTCACCGGGGAACTCGCTCGACGAAGTACCCGATTGCGAGAGTCCTTGATGAAACGCAGGAATAGAGACGACGCGGCGATCCTTCAGAGGTAACTCTCGCTTCTCGCTTCTCTTTTACCCGAGGAAACTATCTATTTGACTATCCTTTGCAGAACGATCAGCGCGAAGAACGCCGCCAAGAGGCAGATGTCGCGGCACAAGAAACAACCGGACGAGAAGCAGCCCAGCGAGAAACGCAAAAAGAGGTCCTTGCAACGTCGTAAATCAAACTTGAAGAAGCGCGATCCTGAGACTACCGTACCCTGCGCCGCAGCCGCTCGAAACGAGGACGAGGATGACGACGACGACGACGACGACGAGGACGAGGACGACGACGACGACGACGACGATGACGACGACGACGACGACGACGAGGACGAGGACGACGACGACGACGACGACGACAATGACGATAACAACGAAGAGAATAACGGCGGCGACGACGATACAGCCAACATAAATCGCGTACTAGTCGAGAGGATGTTGTTGAAGAACTCGGGCTTCAATCAGGGCAGTAGAAGCGTCGGCGGAACTCCGATTTGTCTGCGACGCAAGAAACACGACGTTAACAAGAATCTGCCGCCTATGCGATCCAACGACGAACGATCGTTGGCTGTTCGATCTGGCAGGGGTGAAACCGAGAACGTCAAGAGACGATCGAATTCGGTAAGCGTGCTCGATGTCTCTTCTAAATCGATCTTCTCCTCAATCGCGTTCTCTTGTTTGATCGACACAGGTGAGCTACGTAAACGGGAATCTGGTGAGGCGACGAATAACCAGCACAGGTGGCAACACCTACATGACCACGTTCGCCTCCGAGCTGGCGCTGATCGAGGCGGACAAAGAGGCGGACAAAAAGTATCGGCAGTTGATTCTCGAGGCGGAGGATATTCTAGTGAATATGCAGAGGAATCAAAACAGCGTGCCCGTAGTACCATCTCCCTCTCGCAAGTTCCACAACGGACTGGCGAACAAGCGCGTCGAGCTGATTAAAAACACCGAGCTGAACATCGAGCTCGCCCTCTCCAAGAGCAGAAACTCTCAGCCGGAGTTGCAGAGCGGTAGCATCAGGGATCTGGAGCACACCAGCCCCAAGAGGCAGCAGCAATTTCCTCAACCGTGTTCCCCTCCTTTGCGAAGATTCGCAGAGAGAAAGATTTGTTCACCGACGAACGGTCTCGCGGCAGCCGCTGCCTACAAATCTTCCCTCGATTCGACGAGCCAACAGCAGTCACCGGATAGAAATCTGCTCCGCTGCCACAGGCCGGTGGTTTACCAGCAGCACCATCGTCGTCAGGACACCGAAACCTCTTTCCTCGCCAGTAGACCTCACCACGCTGTCTTGCCGCACAGAGACTCTCTCCCGACCGTAAACCGGAGGGAGTTTCGAGTCTCCAGCACCGCCGGCAAGGAGGAGGGTGTCACGTCCAGTTCGTCAGACTCGGAGGAGAGATGCGACGTTAGGAAACGACCGCCTCTGATGACTTTCAGGTTAGCCCTCCTTTCTTCTCGTTCCGCTTCCGCTACCATCGAGAAACTTAATCTTCTTTTCCGTAGATCGGTCGACATGGGCCCTATCAAAGAAGGATCTTCCTACTGTCCGCAAAGCGAGCCAGTCAAGAGGAAAGTGTACGCGGGCAGCGCTACCTACGGTAGAATACAGAAGACTTTGGGTGAGCACGTTACTTTGAGAAATTCGGACGGGGACACGGCCACCGACGACACCGGTAAGAGTATAACGTCGCCGCGTAACGCGACCCCTCTATCTTCTTACCCCTCTATCGTCCTTTCACCACACAGACGACTCTAGGAGATCTCTGAAGGAGAAGGTGGCTAGGCTACGACAGGAACGACTGGCCGCGACTCAAGACTCCCACATTTTCCAACACCAACTCTCGCAGTTGAGAAGACAAATGCTGATGCAGACGATCCAAGGTCTGAAGCGAAGTCTCGAGGATCAGTCCGCGACGTTGAAGCAGACCTGCTTCGAGTTGGAGCCGGTGATGTCCGATCGATTACCCTGAACGTATCGAGAATCGAGCGACGATCCGCGTAACTCCTTCTTCGTGTAACTCCTTCTTCGTGTCGTTCTGTGCAACGCTCTCGAACTCTATGTCTTCGAGACAGTGGAAAACCTCGACGATGCGCTGTCTAGCCGAATTTCTACCTACCTAATCGTTTAGATGGGAATCGATCTATTTTTCTGCCTCTTTACACGGTAAGAGAATCAAAATTAAGAATATTACATATTTTCTGGGCATTGTCCTCGCGTTCTTTGCTCGACGCGTCAAACCATTCGCTGTCATTCTGCCGGGCGAATGCTCGCGTGTAACTCGTGCGACGGAAACAGGGATTAAATTAAAGAGAAACGTCACGTGGAGGAGGAACCTTTAACGAAACGATCCCACGTTTCGCTTAACGTATGCACGCTCAACAATTAACGCGTAATGTTCCTATTTCTACTTGGTACTTGCGAAAGAAAGGGGCAAAGTTGTCGTCGTCAGTGGAACGAACACTTCCCGTTAGTATACCAAAGATAATAGCCTAGCACGGTAGTATAGAACCGTTTAGTTGATCCAACATATGCTACATAGACGTTCGTAATGTTACAGTGCTATTACTAGAATCCTTTTTCTCGGAGTTTCCATTAGAGAAATACCGCGTTGCGTCGAGAAGAAATCTTCCAGGTCTCCGTCAGAGTCCAATCCTCGTCGGCATCGTCGCGCGCCAACCATTAACCTCTTTGTTATCCTCTTTTTCGAGCTCACGGCGATTCGATTCTGACCATTCGGTATGTAGTTCAGACGGTGGAGAAAAATACTTTCAGTCGTGGTGATATTTTTGCGAGAATAGACTGATAGCGTTATCGATATATTATAATATTGTTAGTATTAAGCGTTCGATAACGATCATTTCCATGTGATTTCTTACATCCCTACATATATATGCGTGCGTGTGTATACACAAAGAGGGGAGTCGCACACGGCCATACGCATATATATGTACGCATGTATTATACATATATGCATATGTTCCGAGTTCTCTGAGAACGACGATTCACAATACGCACACGATATTTATGTTTGTGTTAGATGTGCTAGAGACCATAGTGAAAAAAAAAAGTGTTAGAGAAGAATAGTAGTAGCGAATTCTAGTACGCTAGCTAGCTAGCCGGTTATCGACTAACCTATCTCGTAATACCGTTTCTTTCGATCGTCCCCTCTTCTCGTTTATTTCCCCGTTTCTTTGGGAACTGTGATTGCAACTTTGCTTAGCCAGTTTTAGAGTTATTGCCTCTCATAGAGTGAAGCCTTTTTCAGTTTCACGACCGCGTACGGCCGGCTCGGATAAATTTGTTCGGAACTTTTATACTCGATACGTGTGTATATGTATATACATATATATGTATATACATATATGTATATGAAAGATTTAATTTTTTTCCTTACGAAGTAAACGATTACCGCCATCGCCATCGCCATCGCCATCGCCATCGCCATCATCGTCATTATGGTTTTCATTATTTTAGCTGATTATTAACTAGATCGAGACATTCCGAAGATACGCGCTAACGGACGAGTTCTAATCACGTGACCGACATCTCGTCCGAACAATTCGACTTTACGAATGAAATTTTCGATCTTTTCCCCTGCCAACAGTAATGCTAGTCATCTGGTTATTTGCGCGGGGTGCACAATCGGCAACTTTCGATCGACTTTGAACAATGACGCGAAATTATTGTTGCAAATTTCCTCTGTACTAAGCCATTTGCGAGATTAAATGGTCTTTTTTTATATGATTATGAATAAATTATATTACGTCGTTGGAAAGCTGCATTTATTTGCCTCGTGAATGTTTCCTAGATGATACTACGTATGTATGTAGATATTTCCGATAGTTGCTACTGCCAACCTTTTTCTTTGCCTAACCTAGTAATCGAAATAGACCTTCTTTTGCATCTTATTGTTAGCTATTTTCCAAAGGTAGATTAAACTATACTCTCCGCTTCCATTGCCAGCAAATAAACAGCTTTTTATTCAAAAACCCAGCACAATCGTGTTCCCTAGATTTTAACAACAACTTCTTTACAACAACAACAACAACATTCCTTACACGTACAATCGGGTCATTCTAGCGATGAAAACTTTTGTCAAAAGGAAAAGGTGGAAAAAAAAATAAGAATACTCGACGTATACTCGACACGCACTTATCTTATTTAACGGATACGAACTTGTACTCGATTTCGTAGATTCCAACTGGTTCTTTAATCTTATCACAGTAATCGACCCACTCTCCCTCTGTCAGATCCACGTCCGTAAATTCCTTTCCTTCGTTAACAGCTTTTGCGATCCAACCTTGCCTTGCCGAGAAATCAACGGGTTCGATGCCTCGACAATCGAATATCGCGATCGTTTGGAACTGCTCTTGATCGTTCACGCCGGTGTACGGTTTGATGGAATCCTCCAAAATGCTCATAGAATTCACGCGAGAACAAAGTTTGCACTTCATAACAAAATGGTTCACCGCGTTTCCTCTTTGAGCTGGAATCGGCTCGCTTAAAGACACGTAATTCCACTTATCCGATACTTCGCCACAGTTCCCGCAAAAAAACTTCAGGTACCACCTGAATTCTGGTCCCGACGTTTTCACTTCTTCGACGTTCTCCAATTTTGCTTTTATTTGCAACGCCTTTTTCCCCATTTTCTCCAAACACGTTTCCTCACCTTCCAACACAACAATTAAACGCGTTTTACATCATTCTCTACCACTTACGTGTACTCTTCTAACCAGCTTAGAGGTTAGGTTACGAACGGTCAATTCGTAAAACGATTCCTTCCTACCTATAAGGTGATACGCAGTAAAGTTTGCGCATGCGTATAGTATCCGTTGGTAACGTAGAAAATGATTTAGCAGAGCATTCTCGATCCAAGTTTTTCATCTATAATCGCGCATATTTGTTGCCCTCGCACTGGATAGAATACAAAGTCGTTAGATTAGTGAACACGTTGCTTGTTAGCAGCGATGCATGGGTATCGAACGAGAGAAACAATTATGAGACCGACAGTTTTTCTCTTTTTCATTCTTTATTCCTGCATCTTAACGACGTATTCTAGTGCCGAAGATATTTTAGGTTGTGGAGGATTCTTGAAAAGTCATGCCGATATCGACTTCGCAAAAGTTCAGATAAAATTGTGAGTAACTCGGCAATTCGATCGCCAGAATAACTTTCCAAATTTCATAAATGATCAGTCGATGAACCTTTACTTCCTTTAGATACACGAAAGCTGGTAGTCTTAAAGATTCTACAGAATGTGCCCCTAACAACGGATATTATTTCCTTCCTCTCTACGACAAAGGAGAATACGTTCTGAAGGTAATGCAAAACGATTAGATAAATTTCGCGATTGTCAGAAAATATGTTTTATTCCGTAAAATCGACTAAGTGTAGTCGTAGACGATCAGATGAAAGTGTACGTCAATTACATCTTGACACGTGTATATTTAGGTGGATCCACCCAGGGGATGGAGTTTCGAACCTACGGAAGTTGTATTGAACGTAGATGGAGCAACGGATGCTTGTAGTCAAGGCAAAGACATTAATTTTACCTTCAAAGGTTTTGGTATCACAGGCAAGGTAAACTATTTTCTCTTTTAATCTGCCCAATTCAAAACTGCCCAATTACTAAAAAGCTTAATATCCCCTGTAGGTCAATAGTTTAGGATCTGATTCTGGTCCTAAAGGTGTTACTGTAACATTGTACAAAGAAGATAACCAGCAAGTTCCTGTTGGCACAACAGTCGCTACAGAGGGTGGTATATTTTATTTCACCCCTATACAGCCTGGACGATATATGCTCGTTGCATCCCATCCTACGTGAGTTTAACGGATCGCGTTCCATTTAAATACCACGCTGCGGTAAATATATCACGTTATTTTATATTACAGATGGATGATGAAGACAGATACAGTCAGAGTAACGGTACAAGAAGGGAACACGGAACTTCCGAACGGTAGTCTGGTCATCTCTGGATACGATGTGAGCGGCCGAGTTACCAGCGAAGAAGAACCAGTTAGCGGTGTAACATTCGTATTATTTGGAGTAAGCATTTTCTTTCTTCTTCCCTTCCCTTCCCCTCCCTTTCTCCCCTTAATCGGATTAACCAAATTTATCGTTACATAGAATGGTGTAGCTAAGAATTGTGCAACCACACCTATAAGTAAAGATCTCGAATCTAGAAAGCCTCTTTGTCACGTTGCGTCAGACAGGAGTGGTAAATTCGTGTTTCCAAGTTTGTCACCCGGCGATTATAAACTCGTACCGTATTACGCCGGTGCCCAAACGAAATTTGACGTTCAACCACCCGAGTTATCGTTCAAAGTAAGTCACAATAGCGTCGCCTTACGTCAAGGGTTCAAGGTAACTGGTTTCACGGTAAACGGTCTTGTTCGCACTGCGATCGATGGAGATCCTTTGCCAGCAGCGAAAGTTTTTCTCTCTCAAAAGCAAATTGCTACAACGGACGCGAATGGAAAGTACGTGTTGGATAATATGAAAGCCGGCCAATATACTCTAAAAGCTGAAAGCGGTACGTATCCTTTCCTTTCTTCTTCCCCCTTTATCACCAAAACGGTCAAGATCTCTCCCAGTTCTCCGGAACTACCTGTTCTAATACCAGCAGCGTACAAACTTTGCGGAAAAGTCACTCTATCGACGAAAGGAACGTTGCATCATCGAAAGGTTTTCGTGAAGAACACGGCTGTTACGTTCACCAAAGAAATCGACACGGATCCAAAGACGGGAGAGTTTTGTTTGTACCTTAGCCCTGACAGATATCAATTGAGCGTTGTCGTAAGCGAAGAAGAAAGAGCCAAAGGCTTGCAGTAAGTTCACCGTCCTTCATCCTCCACGTTTCTTCACCGTCTTTCCATTTCTCAAACATCGATATCTCCTTGTTAGATTTTTCCCGTTGCAACAAACGATCGACGTATCGTCTCGAGCAGTGCGCAATCTGAACTTTCTTCAGTTAAAAGCCACGTTAACGGGGACGGTAAAGTGTTTATCAGGAACCGATTGTAGTCAGGCTTCTGTTACCTTGAAGATACTCGACGGAGTTACGATAAAAACGATTCATTCGAAAGGTAAAATTTCATATTCTCTACGTTACGTCGCCTCTCTCTCTCTCTCTCTCTCTCTCTCTCTCTCTCTCTCTCTCTCTCTCTCTCT